AGCAAATTCTATTCAAAGCCTCGAACTAGGCACCTATTCTAGGAACAGGTTTTGAACGCTTCAGTGAGACAAGCGAAATGGCTACAGCTTCGTTGCGATTCAGTTCCACGACAGCGATACCTAAACAGCTCATATTGCTTTCACCTTCGGAGAAACACATTCCAAGATGACAATGTGGGCGTGGTTAGGCATTGTCCCTTTCTTTTTCCAATCACCTCTACTTCTCATAATTATAAAGTGAGGGGCTAGCTAGCCAAAAGCCAGCATTTCTCAAAGTGACTCCGCCCATGGGACTGTGAAAATCAAGCTACGAAAGTTGTATGGTAATAAGCAAAAAAGCAGTTGTCATAGAAGCATATGAACTCGTAGTAGGCGTATAGGCGAGTTGTCTAAGGATACATTCCATGCTTGCCGTGTGGGTGGAGAGTGCCTAGTAAAGCGTCTTTTTCATTGGCGCTTACTGTTTTCGCTTACGAAGAATCGGTTGGTACACCAATAGAAGGTAGAACAGCAGGCCAAATCTCACCCATATGATCAGTAAGTTTCTTAGAAATTTTCGCCGTACGTGTGGGTTCGAAGGCATTAGGCACTATAATTTTCTACTCGACTAAAATGGTAGTGGGATGCTATACAGTAGAAAAATTGCGAACAAGCAAGTGAAACGGTCAAAAACCTGGAAGAAAAGCGTTGCTTCTACACAACTCAGCGATTTCGGACGAGTTTCTCGTTGGCGTCGTGCCAGTAATCGCTACCGTAGATACGGCTGCATGTATGTTCCCATGTATCCATGCGGTGCCGCAGCCACTCCATTTCAATCCCATAATATTTTTCGCAGACGAAACGATACGAGAATGAGCACCGCTCGGACATTTGCGGGCAGGCAGGCGCGGTGGGCGTCCGGGTAGGTATGTTGCAGCCTGACAGGGCGCTATAAGAGTACCTTCCTTGGGAGAGGCGCCACGCAAAGCTTGCTCAGGGGCGGCGAACCCCGTCCTGTTAGGCATATTGATCCTACACTGGGGATTTATCGTACCACTTGCCTTCAAGGACATTCACGCACTTTTTGTCCCTATGAGACAAAACTAGTTAGGCAGAAAAAAGGTCCCGCGGCGCAGAGACTTTGATTGTACACACAATATTATTGAGAGGAGCAGCGCTCTAGTTTCGATAACCATTTGGGCCAGGAGATGGCCTACGCCAGTCATTTGGGTGGGAGCGAAAAAACTTCTTCTATTCTTGGATCACCCCTCTTTCTTGAAAGACTGTCCGACCGAGAATTGATGAAGAGATAGGGAACATCAACGAGGAAAACTGTGGTAGGTCGTCGTGTTTTTCCTTTGAACTCATACTAGCAAGAGTTTCCCACCATCACGGTTCACGGAGATGGTACGTCCAGTGCATCGTCCCCTGTGTAAGCTTCCACCATACTGATCGCAGTATTCTCCTGGAGGCAACGTCGTGTCGAACGACCTGCAATAAAAACCCTTGAATGTCGGTTTTAAATAGTAATAGCACGAACTTGGTAAGAAAACCCTCTAATGATATGAATCAGCTGCTGCATTCCTTCAGTACCAGCTGCAATCTTCCAGTATTTTCCATGGACGCTCAAGAACGACTTTTTGTAAACGCATACTCTTTCTCTATCGCTCTTGGTATACGGTTTCCCTACTATCGCGACTCCTTTTTTCTGTAAAGAATGGCGCGAACGACCAACATTCAAAGGCAAAGTCCGCGATAAGTCAATAGGCGGAGACTTATAAGCTCTGTGCCTTTGCCTGGTCCAACATCCTTCTAGGATCTCTGTTTCTCAGATTCGTTCTATTTGCATCTCATCAGATGAGATTTGCTTATTTTCAGTTTTCTTGATGAGCGCACTTCGCTTGGTGCGTGCATTTTGTTGGTTCCCATCGATCAGTACAGATATCACTTGCACATGGCAAAAGCCTACAGGTCTCACCAGTGTGCGGCGGGTTGTTCGACAGGAACTAGCAGAAGTAACTAGCAGAAGAGCAAAATGCCCCTTCCAAGCCGAACAGCGCGAGATAAACTTATAACGGACAGCACTGAACGCGACTAAAAGCAGCACATCGCCTTATTCTCACCTGCGCCAAGTATAGTAGTTCCCATTCAGTGCGAAGAATCCTTTTCCAAGTCTAGCGAAAGCCAGTCGATTAGAATCCGTGACTATCTGGAACGCATTGGGTTTTCGTGACCACAAGCTCTATTTGTTGAGGCTGCAGTATTCTGTCGGAGGAGCAGGGCCGATGAAGTGGGCGGAGTCAGGCCTAGTCTGCGGTTTGTTTCCCTGTACGCCCATCGTACTTGCGCGATCGTGATAGGGGCACAGCGCTCAAACTCCGCCCATGCCATCACCGTGGAGTGGGGCAGGTTAGGGATACCACTATGTTCTGTATATTACTTAGAACGACGTTACCTGGAGTGGCTGCTGGCTCTTGTTAACTGAGGCGAAATGCTCCACCCAATTCTGCTGTAATAATGGCCATTTAGCTGGTTTGTTTGTTTTCCAAAAATAAATAAAAATGACCTTATTGTGGGCCAACGATGTTCACAAACCCATCCTGATCTTGCATCACATGTATTATCAGGATTTAACGTCGGTGATCTAATCTGAAACCGACGATATATCGTCTGAAGCGCCCCACTACTCGTAAAGCTCCTACCGCATATCCGTAGGCGGATCCCCAGCTTGGAGGTCCTTGATTTCGATGATCGAAGTAGTAACCGCTCATCACTTTCGGATAGCCGTACGGCCATGCCAGCATAAACGACACTGCCAAACGGTACTGATCCCCGTTCTTGTAGGTGATCTGGAAAAAATAATATCTGATCGGTATGACAATCGATTTCACAAAGGAATGAAGCCAGGTTTCTTCGAAAGCAGAAGGCAGGACAATATTGTACTCGGTCTAAGATGGTACAACAAAGCTTTATTTTACACGATTAGCATTTCGGACGAGTTTCCCGTTGGCAATAGCGCCAATCACCGCTACAGCAGACAAGGCTGGACACATGTACTCATGTATCCGCGGTCAGGGTAAAGCATCGTTGTGTGAAACCCATGGGGGGGTCGTACTTGGCCGATTGGAGAGGGGGGGGTCCAAACTCACACGGCATTTCGCGACATTCCCCCATGCTGCTACCCTGTCGGTGGTGGTTCACTGGTAAGGTACGACGTTCGACGACTCGATTTGACGTATGCGACCCTCGCTTATGCTTCACTGCCAGGGTACAGCTTCGTGATGGGTGAGGTGTTGGTGCAGGTACGACCCCCCGCCCCCACCTGAATGAATGTCTCGACACGACCCCTCCCCCTCTTCCCCGACACCTAACTACAATTTCCCAAATTTCCCAGTTTTTCACCCAAAAATTTCTTCTAGCTGGGGGGGGGAGGTATATAGTGCACATGAAACAAGAAAAATCAACACCCGCACAAAACCAACTCAGCAAATTTCCCTCGAAGGCACATACGACCCCCCCCCCCTGCCTTTATGGCGTTTTCACACGAACGATCTGTACACTGGCCTCACAGCTCAGCCACCAAAGCCTCTCATGCCTACTCAGCCATTACAATTTCAACACTGCTCATAAGTTGCTTATAATTGCAGGTTGCAGTTTTCCTATATTTTTTAATAGCCTTACAGACATAATCATCATCATCATCATCATCATTTATTACATGAGCGAACTCATGTGGCTACACATCAGCCTACAAACAATGAAACAGAACATCCGAGAAAGTCCCGCACGGGGAAAAAACAATAATACCACAAAAAAGAGTTTTGAATGGAGACCTGGATAGATCGATAGGGTCAAAGACCCTATCGATCTATCCAGGTCTCCATTCAAAGTTCCATGGTAAGTTGGCGGACTTCCCTAGTTAGAAATATACTGTCAGGAGCGGCGTTGCTATCGAATGTTTCGCCCCAACTGTTGGCTGCGTGGCTTTCGCTTACGCTTTTCCTGCCTTTTGTCCGCATGAAGAGCGTCTCTGCGTCTCTAGTCCCTAGGCTCATGCAATGCTGTAGCCGAGTCTGCAGCATGTAACCATTTCTTTTGCCATACTCCTCCATTGGTTAGTCAATTAGAACCAACAACTTCATATTTCAACCCCTTTGTTCCTGGCACGGCATAATGAGTAGGTAAAGCTGCCGAGTAGGTAGGGGCAGATCGATTACAGTCGTGGCGTTTTGTTGGTCCCCTTGGTGGTACTGCACTAATATGCGTGTGATGGCAAAGAACTCCACCTAGACTGGGTCTAGATGCTTGGAAATATATGATTGGTGAGCGGCGTTGCGATCGAATGTCTTGCCCTTGTAGTGTCTGTGGCTGTGTGCTTTTTGCCCGCGCTTCGTCTGCCTTTTGTCTGCACGCTGAGCGTCTCTGCGTTTCCCGTCTCTATATGCTGTGCAATGCTCTGGCCAGGTATGTGTCTTGCTCGAGGAAATTCTCGTACCGTTTTGCTTCACAATCAAGCCAATTAGCCCTTACAAATTCATATTTGGGCCGTGCCATCGAAGTTAACGTTAAAAGTTTGAACTAGATACGAAAACTTACCCCTCGGTGAAATGTGACATCTCGTTGGACATCATGATTATCAATAAAATTCACAACATCATGGTCTTCCAAATTACCGTAACCATAGCCGTTACCCATATTGGCGAGCCAACTGAAAAATATCGAATTTGGTTAGAGTTCGGAATTACGACGAATTTGAACGTACGACCCACCTCCAATCGCCTTGGCCTTTAGCAATTCTTGAAACGGAAGTAGCGAAGTTGAAATTCGAATACCTTAATGAAAGATGGTTATTTTTACCATACCGGTAGTGGCCAGGAGGGGGTCGGGTGTCCCGCTTCAACCCTCTCCCTTCTTGAAAGCAGAATCACGAGCGTAATACTTCACAAAAAATCCTACTGTGCTTGTAAGTGAACCTGCCAAGTGTCACATATTGCCCAACTGAAACGGCTTCGTCTCCCTGATCGGTGACTTCGTGGACGATAAATGGTCGCTGATTTGGTCCGAAAATCTGAAGCTATCTTAAGTTGGACTTTCTTAGTTGGCTATCCACAGATAAAGTGAAGCAACACATTCCGCAATCAGCAAATGGGGGGGGGAGGGAAGTGAAGGCAGAAAGCCGAGATGCCCTTTTTCTTATGATTAGCAACCTTCTCCTCTTGACCGCGTTAGTTCGGTGGTAGCAGTTTCTTTCTTCCTATTACCTTTTCTCTCTCTTCTTTTCCTTCCCTTTTCGGCTTTTCATTCACCTTTTCGCTTACAGTTCTGGAGCGTACAGGTGACGGGAGAGTCGGTGGGGGGGGGGCAGGGGCATTTTGCAGCTTTTGCTAGTTCCAGCAGACCGTCGAGGCCACCTGAAGAGGTTTTTCCTAGCTTAAAGCAGTTAATTGGTTCACATGGTAGCCTGGACCGAGCTTGCTCGGCTTCATAAGTGGTTCGTATTTCACCAGAATGGGACTTGCAAGCCGAAGCTCGTGAAGCAGCGAAAATGCAACATGTCCCCCCCCCCGCAATCCGCGCCGTTCCCACATATTGAATTTCACGGAAGAAATACGTAGGAATTATTATACAAACTCACATCTGCCCTCAAGTTTTTCGTAGCTCCAAGAATCAATTCTAGATCTGCTGGCCACATGTGTTTCGAGGCATCAAATCTGATAAAGGAAAAAGTTACAGAAAGTGGCTAGATGGCTCAGAAACCCGTGTTATGTGCTGTAACTGTGTATCACGTTTACCTCAGCGTGGCTGCTTACAGCTTCCTACAACTGGTTAAAGGCACGGCACCCTCCAACTGTGTGGGCGGAGAGGCGGGGGGGGATTTCTCTCTTCTCTTTTCTTCAATGCTCTCTTCATTTGCTCCCTCTTTCCTTTACCGTTTTAGGCCACATTCATACTTTGCGGCATCGATTTTGCACACGCCCAATTTCGCGATGCCTAACCCAGCTGTCTGCTTTCTTCTATTTCAATACTCTATCAGCAGCCTTCTACCCTCCTAATTCCCCATACTTCCCTTCCAGCAACTGCCAGACGCTGGTGGGTGCTGGTCGCCGTCGCTGTAGACGCTGGTAACGCTGGTTCGTAATCCTATGCAAACTTCACTAGTCGCTACGGTGACGCCTGCGACCGACATGCTGCCTCAAAGTATGAACGCAGCCTAGAGAGGAGCGCGCTGGTAAAGTGCGCCCCTCCCTCTAATGGACAGTAATTATGGTTTGGGAACTATGGTAGTGCGTACTATGTCCGCTTCGCCCTCCCCCTCCCACACTATCAGCGTACTGTATTACAAACTTAGCGGAATTATTGATATTTAAGGAACAATACATCCAATAATCACCGAAAACCAGCGACACCGTAATCGATCATCTTATTGAGAAAAGCAACCAATTTGCTCCTCACTTCTGGACGGCCCTGATTCAGGTCCGTAAGAGCCTCAAGGCGGCAGTTTCTGACCTGAGTTCACATTTTTATTCTGAAGTCATCTTACAGTTTCATTTTCAATTATGATTAAAAACTCATTGAATAAATCGTAAAATGTAACAATCAGCTTACACCCTCTACACTGCGTTGATAGTCTTCGTTTAGAACGTTGTGGTTACAGCGAAAATCGTTAAAGTCAGCAGCGGTATAAGGTACCTAAAGTAATGCGAAAAATTAAGAGTATTATTATATAGGGTCGGTTAGGAGATCCACCTTGCGGCGACTTGGCAGCAACTCTTGACATTCGCACTCGACCTAGTTAAGCCGGCCTGGCAGCTACGGCCAGTGCAGGTCTCGCAGCTGGGGAAAATCCTCGTAAAATAGGACCCCCCACGAATTCGGTCCTCTGCTACACCCCCCCTCCCCTTTTCCAACCTACCCACTGCCTACCGCATTGCCGACTTTTCCATCTTCCTACCACATTAACCAAAATCGCCGGAAAAAATTCCAGTCCCTCCCCTTAGATTCTGCCGAACGGG